GCTTAGGTTGATTGTTATTGTTGAATTATTAGGGTGAATTGGTTGTTGGATGATTGCAGTTTATTTGTTTAATTGTCTTAAGTGTGAACAAAAACCTAATGATTAATCATATGTTGTGCTCATCGAAGGGTACTGTACTACTAGAACCCTGGTACAAAGCAGTGGAAGTGAATTCGTGAATACCCTAAGATTTCAGAAGAAGAAGAGGATTGTAGCTCAGCGACCAATCGCATTTACATGCAGTTGAGAATGAATCATGTTTATTGTTTAGGAGCTTATAATACTACCGGGCTGTCCAAACCTCGATAAGTGAATGGGAGTTTAATCCCGTGGTCGCGCGTCTGGACCAATGAGCCACATGTTGACATTAAGGTTGGAGTTTCAAAAAAATTGATTCCTAATATGCTGAACGCGCACTTTGCTGGTGTTATCAATCGCAGAGTGTAGATAGATTGATTCATCATGTAAACGATACAATGTGTACCGTCCCACCGCATTACTCAGTTTAATTACTAAATCGGACACTTAATTGATTAATATCAAACAACTCTTCAGCATTACTATAGCTGATATTTTTTCTAGAATTCTTAATTCCACTTCATTTCTAGGTAGACGTTTCGTGCTCAGCCTATGTTCATTCACTCTGACCTTCATCTGTGTACCGTTCTCCTCTGTATAGCAAGCTCCAGATTCTGAACACTTTATCCTATAGACACAATCACTTTGTGTCATTTTGGGAACCATATCTTTGACATTCACCAAAGCTTCCTCTAGAGTATCAGAGTGCTTGTAATAGACTTTAATGTTATATGAAGCAAGTACCCATTAAAGTTGTTCAGCTGTCTCCTTTCTATGTGGAATGGCTATCGTCGATAGCTAATATTTTTCATTTTTTTCCTGTTTCGCCCTTCTACTCCCTTTTATTTATAATATTATTCAGCAGTTTTTTCGGATAACCATTTTCAATCAAAATTTGTTTTATATTGGAGATCTCGTTCTCCATATCATTGTTATCTGTTATAATGTTTCTAGCTCTGTCAAACGAGATTTAAAGCTACTGAAACTTTCATTCTTATTGAATGATCTGATTGGAGATTCAAATATTTATTTGAATGTGTCGGTTTCCTGTATATCGTAAATTTTAGTATCTCTTCAGTTTTTCTTTTTATAAGACAATCCATAAGGTTTAGAGTTCCCTCGTTCGATTTTTTTCCATTGGTAAACTTTATATTTTTTGAAATTAAGTTAATCTGTGTTAGAAAGTTTTCTTTTTCAGCTTTCTTAATAATGATAAATGTGTCATCTACATATCTGTACCATATTCTAGGATGACAACTAAGACTTGTCAGTGTTTTCCTTTCTAGAGCTTTCATATGAAGATTTGCTACAATTAGAGATGCTGGTGATCCCATTGCGACTCCATTTGTCTAACAGATTCTAAACAAAGTCTTAAGCATCTTATAAAGTCTTCTATTGATTATGAACATTTAGCTAATATTTCCTAATTGTTTTCAAGTTAATTTTTGATTATATCAATTGAATCACATGTAGGAATACTAGTAAATAGAGAAACCACATCAAAACTTGCCATAATTATAATAGTTATATCCATTAATTTTCTTTTGAACACCTCAATACTTTTAATGTTTGAAGGAATATTGTATTGAAACTGCTTCAGTATTCTTGATATGTGTTTTGATAAAGTGTATGTTACTGAATTGATGAAATCAATCTTTGATCTTAGAGGAACATCGATTTTGTAAATTTTTGGCCTTCCATAAAGTCTCACGGCCGAGTTCGTTTTGGGAGCTATAGAACACCAAACTGAATTCACTAGTTTTGGTTTCAATTCTCTAAGTAGATCATATACTTCTGCTTTTACTTTGTTCACAGTACTAGACATTTTATTCATTGGTACTAGTGCGTATGGACCTGCTTCGATATGTTCCAAAGCTTTCTTGTCATAGTCATGTCTACTGAGAGTCACAGTGACATTGCCTTTGTCAGCTTTGGTTATGACAATAGATTTTAACGTTCGTAATACGTGACGTTTATTCTTCGACAAATTTGTGGTTACCTGCTTTTGATTCGACAACATATATCCAACCTGATACAATTCAATTTATTAAACACGCCAAGATTATTTTAAATAATTTATAATAGTGAAGATTGGTCAGATTGTAACTAAGATTTGTGAAAACTGGTTAAGTTAGAGCTTGCGTGATATGAAAAAAGAAACTCCGAAGAATTCGGTGCTAGCAGGAAGAGCAAAGAGAGCAGTACAAAACTATATTATGTAAAAGATTAACAGAATAGACAAGATAGTGGTTAAGGGAATGATACTAACAGGTATAATGTCAAAAATACAAAACAAAATACTAATAACAGCAAGTTATTGATTAAAAAGTGGAATTTGGAATTATACTCGAGTTAGGAGTTGTTGGATTAGTTCCTTCTATATGCATAAGTTCTGTTTTTGCATATGAATAACTAACATCTCAACAGTCCAAAGAATACGAAAACTAACACTGAAGAGGCGTCTGTTGACTCTGCAAATAACTCAGAATGGATTTACTTAAGAGACTGAGTGATCATTGTTGAAAATGTACTCAGTTGTGACACGTAGTATCGACCCATTATAGCCTCTTTGTAGTCATACAGGATATTATTCCTTGACTCTTTTGGATAAAGCTTCTATTGAACCACCTATATAACTTGCTCTAAAGGTTTAAGTAAATTCATTTACGCATAATTTTCTATCCAAAAGAAGTTAGCTGTTCAACTTTTTTACTTTTATGAGGTTTATGTTATTTTATCCCTTTGATGATATGCTTAACATCATGACACATTTCAAACCATAGAATATGTATCTATGTTTGATTCTGTTTTTTCTCCTGAATGAAATTTAGTAGATTTCCCAACGAAAGACTCACGTGACAGATAAATGGTGAGAATCTTTTAGGTCAAGGTTACTGTATACAATCTAGGCAGCATAAAATCAGTTTTTCTTTGATTTGTAAACTATCTAACTTCAAAAGTTAGAAAATTAACAAAAATAACAAATAACTCTTAGTAATTGCTTTTATGTGTATGGATTCAAACTAAGAGTTAGATATATTCTGTAAATGCTAATAATAATAGTACTACCCGGTTCCTATTAACTTTACAAGTTATTTATTGAATAAATACTTAGTAGTTGAGACTATCGGAGACATCCTTTTGTTGACAGGCTGTTATTGATGTTGATTTCAGCACGAACTAACACCACTTAGAGAATCATTGGGAACATGATATCAATCTCCAACTTATTGGAGACTGCTAGTTGATTGTCTTGAAGTCTAATTAAAAGTCGTTGCCAGTGGGGTCCACCATGTTAAGGTGAAGTGGATTGTCATCGGTAGTATTAAATGGTGGCAGTTCTATATTACAAAGTGAAAAAGTTAGAACTCGCAGATATTGAATTCCTGCCGAAGTAGCTGTATAGTCAACAGGCTGGCTTCGTAACCTGAAGATCCCATGTTCGATCCCTGGTGTGGTTGTGGGTGCTCAGTGTTGAATATTCCCGAAATAAAACGGAACAGCTGTCCACTGCCTCCTGGTTTCCACTGATTCTCCAAATGATGTCGATTCGTAACGAAGTCTACATTAAAATAATCCAAGTGTTATTGATATAACAGGTGGTAACCGATGGTAAAATGCAAATTCGGGTCACTGTAGGATTCAAACCAACGACCCCTGAACTAGTAGTCTGGCGTCATACCAGCTGATGGGCGACAAAAGTCCAACTTTTAACCAAAATACGATCTCATCTCAGTCATCAGAAATAATGCCCAACTGTGTCATGTGTACGAATCACATGTTACTGTTCGTTTATCGTCAATTAAGCTACCAAGGTAGATTTTCTCTTGTTGAACCTAATCTTTCTGTATTAGGTCAGCTGGGTATTAACCATGATAATTGCAGTGAAATGATCACCTGATTAGCAACTGGGTGTGGTAGAACAGCTGGTAGAGAGAGCTCCAGACTATTAATTTGAGGGCTGCTAGTTTGAGTCTTACCGTGACTCAGGTTTTGATTTTAACACTAGTCATCGTCCGCTACATAGACTAATGATCTATATTACGACAAAGCTAAAATTTTAGTGAGGAAAAATTCTTTTTGCGACAATTCCATTCTACGTAACCATAAGACAGCCGTATTTTTTTACATGGTTTATAACTGCTTCATAAACCGACGGCAGTTAAAAAGTCAAGGAATACAACTGTGTCGTCTTAGTTTGGGTCTGTTCCACAGTACGTAACCATGACCCGCTTTACCAGGATTCTAACCCAGGATCTTCAGGCAAATGTATTGTTAGTACTTGTTATTAAAGTAAAGATAGGTTGAAACTTTTATCTAAGATCTGATTTTTTTCGTAATTTAAAGTTTGTGACTTAACACTAATGTCAAGTTAGTGCTTCTATATAGTTCACAGACTTGGCACGTTACCGAAGATTTTCATCAGTAGATACTTTCGCTCGATACTGAGAACTAGATGGCCTTCCAGACAGGATAAACAAGTAACGAGGAACTCTAATAAGTATGCGGATGGGAATAGATTGGGCATACACTAAAGAGACCTTCAAGTCACACCACACACTAAGTTGTCGAGTAGAACCCAAATGGAAAGTGACGAGTTCGATACCCGGTGACACGGAAAAGATCATGTAAGGAGGAAATCGAAGCTTGTTAGCAGTCGTAGAGCTAGTTGTTAGTGTTGGCAGAGAAGCGAGTGCCGTTGAGGTTATATATTCCACTCGTAAACCAAGGAATGAATTATAATAGCAGTGAGAAATCACCATATTGAAGGCAGTTCAAAATCACTTATACATGTTTTGAAATATGGTCTACTATTGATGATATATCTTATCAAGGCAAGTTTCTGAACTAATTGCCACATCTCTCTTACTTTTACAACCTATTCCAGGTTTACAAAGAATCTCTCGTCAAATAAACTTCATATGAGTTTATTAAAAGGGATTTTAGAACTTGAAAGTTTGGAATTAGAAGAGAATGCTTTAATGGAACTTATTGACCTACCGACTTGGTTACTTTTACGTAAAGCACACTGTAAAAATGTTGTAGCCAAGGTAAGTTGTCGTATTGACTTTTCCTCATCTTCTCCTTGTTTTGCGATGTTAGATACACTGGACAAAGTTGAAAACTCATCCTATCCTTATTGTAAGTTTGATTATTCATTTTTCATCCCATTGAAATCTTTTCATACTTCTTTGTAGACTATTGATCATATTGACATTGAAGTGCAAGCATTGGATGAACCACGTCCAGCGTCGGATTCACCAGTGGCCAATTACAGGTGTGGATGGTTATCGATTTACTAATTTTGTTCTCATTCTTCCTTTTATTGTAGAGGTGGATCTGGTAAATATGGTTTCAGTGATAAAGTTATTGACGGTGTTACAATTCAAGTGAATTCGATTGTTATTGAATTGTTCGCCCAAGCCTTTCAAGGTTCAGTTGAAGTTAGTGCTTTATAAAACATGTATACATCATATTTTGAAATTATTCTCACGATGGCTTTTGCTTTTTAATCATCCTTCCATGATGGCATTGTTATACGTTGCTTTGTTCAGTGTGGTCATAGTTAGCTTATGGTTCAACCTCTTGTAGAAGAATTGAACTAGGTACGTGCTTTGGTCATTGCAAAGTAACTGGTATCTTGTTGGGTATAAGACGACGTCGATCTTTCATGGTTACGTAATATACCTTGTTGACGTATATTACAAAGTACGAAAGCTTATTTTCCAGGGTCTTATAAAAAAGTATAACCATTAAGGTATTTTATTTAAACAACATTCTTCAATGTTCACTAGTTTAACTATTAATTCTATAATTTAAGATTATTATTATGAATCGATTAAGGAGAGGCGATTTAAACTTGGTGTCAGAAAGTTTGTATTTTTCACATTCTTAGTTCTTATCTGCTTTATTTTATTTCCAATTACTTAAAAAGTGTGTGTATTAATAACAACTTTTGCTGTTGTTAAGAAAACAATTTTTTTACTATTCCAGTTATCACATCGATTTTTCGTGCTAAAAATATTTTTTCACTTTGCAAGTTCTGTTCCTTTTTGACTAATGATATATACATATCTATATATTTATGAAGAATGTGTAAATTTTCTTCGATTTTGTTGTTATTAGTTTATGCATGAGGGTGGGGTTATTATAATTGGGCAAAAATAGAATCACTTTTTAAGTGTTGCTTACTCTGTTGTCAAACTTAGATATATTAGCTTAACCGATTAATTTGTCTTTCAACTTGCACTCAGCATAAGCAATAAGATTTGGATTTTCAACACTAATGTCAAGTGAGTCAGTGCTTGTATGTGGTTCAGGGAATTGGTGCGTCTCAGTAAATGTTCGTGACAGTCTACTAAGTACTTTTATCGACAACTGCCTTCATCCGAGTAGATGGCTAGTCAAGAAGGATAAGTGACAGGGAAGTCTTGAAAGCAGTAAACTAACCAAAAACCTAGTCCCCAACACATTTTGAGAAGGAAATAGGGATGGATCAGATGCATACTGAGGAGACGGTTGAGTGACACCACGCACCAGGCCCTGGAGTGGAACCTGATTGGGAAACGACTAGTTGGGCATTCAAGGATAACATGGAGAAGATGCGAGCTTATGGACAATCATCCAGACAGCTAAAAAAGACTTCAGGGGACATGATGACATGGAAATGAGCTGCTGAAATCCTATGTTCCACTCTGAACCCAAGGGGATTTTATATGTATATATATATATATATATATAAGTCTCTACTAAAGTACAGCAGTTCAACTTGCCACATATTATGAAGCACACATAAAGGTAGAGAAAAGAAAAATAAATGCTAAGGAACTATAATAAACGGAAAATTACGGAAGAAAGAATAAGGATATGAAGAATGATGAGAATTCAGTAGATTTCGGAATCCGTACAGACTGAATGCATCACCGACAGTCTCAATCTATTGATTCTAGATGTATCGGGGACTTCAACCAGGCAGTCTACACGCCCGTATGTGTGAAACCTAAGGCCGAAAACTTCATGGAGAGATTCCAGTTTTGCCCTAACTCTTTTCTAATTTAATCTTATGTCGGCTAACATTACCCGTCTCGGAATGTGTAGCAGGTGTCCTAGCCATTTCAGTCGATGCCGCTTCACAACCTCATCGAATAACTTTCCCTCCTTACGTAACACTACGCCTAGTCTCTAAATCGTGTAATTTCGCTGGATTGCTTTTTGTAACTGTGTCATCATACAGTATTATTTTCACTTGGAAAATCTTAGCTTTTTAAACTAGACAATTATTCTGAGTGAATGTCGTGTGAACCATCCAAATTGAATATTTGTTTAGTCAAATAGCAACATCAGAAATGTGTTAGTAAAAGTATGAGTCTGTCACGTGTTTCGAGGACTGTTTCTCACTTGCCCAAAGTTAAGGTAAGCCAATGAAACGACTTATTTTGATCGAGAAATATGTGAGTGAATTGTAAGATTTTAAAACTTGTTTGTTTCAAAATGTTTCATTATAGGTGGCTAATTCAGAATAATGTTTTAGTTATAACCACTTCCTATTTTTAAACAACAATAAGCTAGAGGAAAACTGAATTGAATGGGATTGTTCCCTGATTCATCCATAACGTATACACCATTCAACAGTTAGATGTATGGTTCGATTGACTTAAGCACTCGGCTGTTAGCTATTGCACCCTGACTGGAAATCCTGCTCCACCTTCTTTAGTCTCAAAAACTGGATAGTATTACCAGCTCTAAAATAACAAATGTGCTTCATGACCTGGTACATAGTAAATCTGTTCTGTGGGACTGATTTTTAACTTATTTTAAATTAAAATGCTTCAATCGAATAGAGAATAATTTCAATATTTCCCTAGTGTAAGTAAATTTTTTAATATATTAATTCTACTTTTAAATGCCTAATTCATTATTGCTGTTTTGTTTTTCAGCTTTCTAGGTTTTGTGTAATGAGTAAATCACCGAACTGGAGAAATTGTCTGTTGAATTTAACAACTCTCATATTGCCACAATATGATTCAATATTAATATTCAAAGAAGTCACTTGGGAGTCTGCACGTATTGTCGCTGATGGTTTGCTGACTGAACTTCGTGGTACACCGGTTAAACTTATCACAAATCAATCCCGTATTCGTCTTACATTGAAAAAACGATTATCTGGTAAGTTAGCGTCTAATTAGTTCATTTAATGCTAATAAAAAGCAGTCTGCCGTCGTAAATATTACTGATAATAAAGTAGTCTTCGAGATGCTAGTCTGGAAAATATCAGTTCACTGTTGAATATTCCACAGTCTTTCCTGTTTCCTGTCGTGATAATCTTTCTATATTTCCTTTGCTTTCCAAGTGGAACATGGGGCTTTATGCATTGAGCTTTGAAAGTTTTACTAGCGGTGTTTGTCTTAGGGAGTGGGGTTGCTAGCCTTACACACTCAACATTCCCTCTTTTAAAAACTTACTACCAGCCAAGCAAGGTTTAGGAGTGCTTCAGTCGGCAATCAAACCCGGACTGTGTGTGGCGTGTTTGGTGAGCATACTACTATTGAACCACCGACGCGTCGTGCTAATGAACAAGCAGTTAATATGCAGTCTGGTTTTAATACAGTCCAACAAGGAACAAAATTGCAAGGAAATATCGTTGATCAGAACTTTAGAATTTTATGTTATTTGAAAGAAAACACCGCTCTCTGATTGGCTACTAGTGTCAACCAATCAAGGTTCAGATGATATATTGAGGGCAGATTATCCGTAATCATTCCAAAGCTTTTCAGTCAGAATTCATCGATTTAATTTCATTAGAAACAGAAAATTATTTTCTCTAAAGAATCAAAATATTCTATATGAGCAGATTAGTTACCCTTTTTGAAAGGCTTTTTAGTTGTTTTTTTTTACATTCATCGCATTCCAAGTGGAAAAGAAGCATCCAGCTTTTGAAGTTTCAATAATGATAGTGTTGTTCTTACGGGATGAAGTTCCCAGCCTCGCCCCATTAAACTGGCCAAGGTATAAGAGTGTTTAGAACCCGGATCATCTGCATGGATGGTGAGTATTCAACAATTGAAGCAACGTCATCAAATTTATTCTGCCTTACTTAGTAGCTTAACGGTCTTTATTAGGTTGCATAACTTTGCAGCTCAGGTGTATTCAAATATTATTTCTACTTTGTATATCTTATGATTAACTGGTCAATCAACTGTCGATCTGTATTTTTGTGATTTACACTGTAAAATATACCTAATACTTAAAATCTAGGTGTTGTTAGAGGTCAACTACCAACCAACAGCAACAATAAATAGCGCCAATCACTATCAACAGGAGAGATTTGAAAGAGGTGTCTTCCCTCACTTATCAAGGAAGCATCGTTCCAACTACAGGCGACAGCATGGATGAGCATGTCAAAACCAGAATCGGAAAGGCAAGGCAGACCTTCATCACTCTGAAATCAGTTTGACAATCTTCTGAAGTCAGTATAAAGAACAAAGTTGGGATTTTCGACACAAATGTGAGGTCAGTCAGTGTTTCTATTTGGGTCAGAAACTTAGTGCGTCACGAAAAGGATTTCCAATAGGGTACAGACTTTTACCAACAGCTGCCTTATCTGGCTGTATAAGGAAGATCAAATGGCCAGCCAGAAAGAATTAGCAGCAAGAAACTCTGGCAACAAAACAACCAAGAACCGATTACTCAACAAATATGAAGGAGAAAACGGAGATAGACTGAGCATCCGTTGAAGAGACCGTAGAATCTCGTCGTGCGTCAGGCCCGTGAGTGGAGTTGGAATGGAAAACGACGAGTGGTTGTCCTAGGGTAACGTGGAGGAGATCGTGTGAGAAAGAGAGATTATGGGCAATCTTGGTGGCAGCTGAAGAGGACAACAGAAAATGGAACAAAATGGAAAGGTGTTTTTGAAGCCCTATGTTCTACTTGGAACTCAAGCGAACAATGATAATACCTGGAAGAGATTCCTCATGCATCAGGCTGAAAGGTACACTTATTATTCTGCGAAGACTCATGATATAAAAGGTGATAATACTGAGCATAACTGGTTATAAATTTGCAATCTAATGATTGGAAGTCGACTACCTTGATAAACGGTTATCGGGTCGGCTTTATCAATCACCGGATGTTAGTCAATAGTGTACTGACTTTCAGCCACTTACTCTTCAGCCTGGTTAGCCGAGTAGTATGATCAGCTCCTGTAAGTGTCGTTTTATTGCCAACTGAATCTTATTGGTTAGATTTGTTATTTACGCATCAAACGTATGTTTTTCACCATTGTAATAGAATGCATCTTCTATTTGGATGTATAAAAGCTTTCAACAGAATGATTCGGTAATTAAACGTGATGCTTATTTGTATTAGTGGCTAGTTTTAATCTCTTGTTGAAACCCGGTTACTCTGATCACATTTCTCATGTATCAGGCTGTTAGCCTCACTTATTGGACTGGAGTGGATAATGCAATACTGATCACTGGAAATCCAGAGGTTAAGCTAAATATCTGTATACCTGTAGTTGAATATGACTGACTATACAACCCTCATATTTTTTCATAAATCGTTGCATAAAGGAAATACCATATTCTCTTTGATTCTTTTCAGTGATTTTGGTTTTGTTTTGTTCTGAACCGTGTATACGATGACTTATTGTGTACATTAATTATCATAACAATTGTGGAAACACTTTTTATTTTCTTTCCTGTGTGTATATATGTATGTATGTCTAGATAAACTATGTTCACGCCTTTTCTTGATGTAGAAATGAAAATTAGCATTCTCTTACATACATGAGAATTTTATCATCAATATGTATTCCGAAGATTTTAGTCTTCTGTGTGCACATTAGAAAGGTGTGTGTGCATTTTCGTTTTACATCACTTTAGACTTTGAACACACACACATGCATTTATGTTAGAAAGGGTGACAGTTTGTTTCAATATTGATTTTGTATAATTGAGGTTGAGTAATTCTGTTTGTCCTTTTTTTACACACACACATGAGGGAGGAGTAAAGTACACTGAATAAATTTGATAACTTGATAATTGTTTTTCATTCTGTTTCCAGCTAGAAATTTTATTGATTTATCGTTTTTGGAATGTGTACTACATTTGTCTAAGTATGTTGTTTGAACGCATTTATGCAGTAGGCTACTATTATTGTTGTTATTATCCCCATGGGTCTCCAGTGGAATATAGGACTTCAGGAGCACACCGTACTTCCCTTTATCCTCTGCAGTCATTTTTAGCTGGCTCCATGACAGCCAACAAACTTTCATTTACACTCACCATCATCTCCTTGTCGACCTCGAACACCCTCCCAATTGGTTGATTCTGATTCGGGTTCCACTTGAGAGCCTGGCGTGTGGTGTCACTTAACGGTCTCCTCAGTGTATGCCCAATCCATCTCCATTTCTTTCCGCATATTTGTTGGGCATTAGATTCCTGAATAGTTCGTTGCTAGAGCCGCTTGGTACACATGCTTAACTTTTCCTCTTGGTTGTCTAATCTTCAATATAGATTGAAGCCAACTGTTGATGAAAGTCTTCACAGTAGTCTGTTAGAAATGCTGTTGGTGACGCTCACGCCAAGTCTCTGAAAAATATACACGCACTGGCTGAACATTCGAGTCTTGTTCCTTATGCTGAGTGATGTAGATTTCCACGCTAATTTTATATTAATGAAGGTCTCTCCTGCTTTTCCGTTCATGACTTTAACATATTCATACGTTTTGCTTGTAGTCGAAACGATACTGCCCAGCTAGGTAAGTGAAGGCTTTGAGTCATATTTATTAGAGAGAAAAGAACAAGAAGTTCAGCAAAGATATATTTTCGGCGATTTCATTCTCAAAAGAAAAGACATCTTTGGTGAACTTCTTTTTTTCTTTTCTCTCTTATGTCAAGATGGGTATTTTCCATCATTTTTATTACTCCGTGAAAAGGATGATACTACCTAGTTGGGTGCGGATTGAAGTATGTGGAGTGGGATTTGGACCATAGACTGACTGTCTCAACTGAAAGTCCCAGTGCCTTAACTAGTGAACCATATTTCTGTTATTTGTCCGGTGTTTAGTCCGTATTGAGTCTACCGAACTTGGTTCAGATGGCTTGGCTGTGTCACCAATGTAGCACAAAAGTATATCAGTTCAAGTTGCCATACTTCAGAAAGTTATATTAGGTTAGTCCACTGCACGTTGACTGGAAAAATGTTTGAAATTCTTGGTGATTCTAGTTTTTGAGTGAAAATGTCCAGTTGTTTTGGAATAGATCGATAACTGGGCAAGTGTTTATATGACTAGAACTTTGTTATCCAATATTGCCTTTGGGAAAGTGTAACTTTTTTACGTGAGCCAATTGTGTGAATTAACCACAAAATGTGGTACTTACTTATCACCCTTACAACTGCATTTATTCATGCCATAAATTTCACGTTTAGAAATGTGAATAACCCGTTCACAAAAAATCACAAATAACAACTGTGTAACAAGGTCATTAAAGGATATGCTCTACAGTTGAATAACCATAAATTTTAAACTATCAGTTGGAACTCAATTACTCGTAACAGATTTTTCATGTGTCGGATTATCAACAGTATATACTGTATGAGAATTGAAGACACTACTCGTATACCAAAGATGAAGTAGGTGGAACGGGTTTTGAACCTGTAAACCACCGGCTAAAAGTGAAGTGATTAATTCAATGAGCAATACCTAAAGTGGATGGTGACTTCAAGTTCCATGACCGGACATCTTCGAAGCATCTGCACAAGGAGCCGACATGTCAACCTGAGGGCGAGCACTTCGGTGCAATCAATTGATGAGCAATACCTACACCTAAATTTGAAACAGTATATTGTTTCGAATAAAAAGAGTATAACTTTAAAACAGTTCAGTGTGACTATTTTCATCTTATTCTCATCTTTTTCTACGAAAAGCAAAACGGAAATGGAATGTTATTCAATAGTCACTTGTATTTCTATGTAATCAGCAATAAATTACACCTGTTGCATAATGGGCTGTCCGTACATCAATAGATTTAACAGGGTTTGAACCTGCAGCCCAGTCTTTGCAAGTTGAGCTCTCCTCTAGGCCGAAGAGCCACACGTTTACATTTTTTTTTCTAGTAGTAATTACTCTAATATCTATTTTGTATTTTTTGTAAAACTAAGCTG